GATATTGATCTAGTCCGTTAAGTAGCAATGGAGGTTGTTAATCGGTTTCAGCTGCTTTGGTGTTAAAGAAGTTAACAACAGGCGCACTAGAGGGGCAACAATGAGACGACCCCCAAAACAGGAATGGTTTAACAGGTGGAGGCCACTGACATTTTTCCCTCCTCATCTTTTCTGACAGTTTTTTTCACTAATTTTGTATTTGGCTACAGTCAGTGTCACTACTGGTAGCATGAGGTGATACCTGGACCCTACAGAGGTTGCACAGGGAGTCCAACTCCTCCAGGATGGTGCATCAATATGTGCCATTGCCAGAAGGTTTGCTGTGTCTCCCAGCCCAGTCTCAAGGCCATGGAGGACATTCCAGGAGATAGGGAGTTACTCTAGGAGAGATGGACAGGGCCGTAGAAGGTCCTTAACCCATAAGTTGGACCAGTATCTGCTTCTTTGTGCAAGGAGGAACAGGAGGAGCACTGCCAGAGCCCTACAGAATGACCTCCAGCAGGTCACTGGTGTGCATGTCTCTGAGCAAACAATCAGAAACAGGCTTCATGATGGTGGCCTGAGGGCCCGACGTCCTCTAGTGGGCCCTGTGCTCACTGCCCAGGACCGTGGAGCTCGATGGGCATTTGCCACAGAATACCACAATTGGCAGGTCCACCACTGGTGCCCTGTGCTTTTCACAGATGAGAGCAGGTTCACCCTGTGACAGAAGTGAAAGGGTCTGGAGAAGCCGCGGAGAACATTATGCTGCCTGTGACATTGTTCAGCAAGTTCGTTTCGTATCAGGATGAAATCCTTGGACCCATTGTCAGACCCTACGCTGGTGCAGTGGGTCCTGGGTTCCTCCTGGTGCACGACAATGCCCGGCCTCATGTGGCGAGAGTATGCAGGTAGTTCCTGGAGGATGAAGGAATGGATACCGTTGACTGGCCCCCATGCTCGCCTGACCTAAATCCAATGGAACACCTCTGGGACATTATGTTTCAGTCCATCCAACGCCACCAGGTTGCACCTCAGACTGTCCAGGAGCTCAGTGATGCCCTGGTTCAGATCTGGGAGGAGATCCCCCAGGACACCATCCGTCGTCTCATTAGGAGCAGCCCCGACATTATCAGGCATGCCTACAAGCACGTGGGGGCCATACAAACTACTGAGTACGATTTTGAGTTGCTGCAATGAAATTTCGGCAAAATGGACCAGCCTATCGGATCATTTTTTACTTTGATTTTTGGGGTGTCTTTGAATTCAGCCCTCTGTAGGTTTATCATTTTCATTTCCATCAAACAATGTGGCATCCTTTCGTTCCTAACACAATACCCAGTCCATATCAGTATAGATATACAGCATGATTTTTTCCCCCCATTTAGATCTGATGTGTTTTCAAAGCGTTCCTTTAATTTTTTTGAGCAGTGTAGCTGTATACAATATTTTAAGGAAAACCAGTATATTTATAATAAAAAAAAAAAAATGTAGACTACAATTTATTAGCTTGTTTGTTAAAATAATTGAGACCATGTGAGAGGTCACTTTCTTTTATCATATAACATTTTTATATTTGTGTTGTAGGGTACATTTTCATGTAATTTCAAATATATGTGCAGAACACTTAGACCAGCCAGTTTACATTTAAATATTTTGTTTAGATTTGCATTGTGTTCTTAACCTGTAGCATAATTGCACTGTTATTGAAAAGCACTTGCAGATACCGTAGGCCTGTTCATTATAAATTAATCTGTCATGGTTTTTGTGGCATCTTGTATTGCTTTGACTTACAACTGAATTTTTCCCACTTCATAAAAATATTCAGATAAATATTATATATTGCCATTCAGCTGAAATATATTGAGATATGATCTTTTTTTGTCCATATCTTCTAGTCCTGACCTTAACCATGAGTAACCCAAAAAATACAAGACTTTTGGCATTTTTAGTTTTTTGATTGTATTCCATGTGTTAAAAAGTTAGACTCAACACATTGTGGGGAAATCAGGTCCTACAAAACTACAAAAACGCATGGACACACACACACACGCACACACACACACACACCCTCAGGCCAGACTTATCCTCTCGGCCAGGTGTGTCAAACTCGTCCTAGAGGGCGGAGCCCTGCACATCTTTGGATTTCCCCTCACACACCTGATTCAACTTCTTGCAACTCCTTGTGCTAACTACCACACAGTTCTTGAGCCAAATCATTTGTGGTGGAAATGGGAAACAACTAAGATATGCAGGGCTGCGGCCCCCCAAGACTGGAGTTTGACACCCCTGCTCGAGGCCAACACTCGCAAATCATGTGCCATAATTTGTCTTTGAAACGATAACAAATCACTGTTGCATAATCATCAGGAAAGACAGTGCCCACAGAAAGGGCCACACTTCTGAGACAGAAGGACGATTGCAGCCTCGAACACCAGAAAGGACCCGCGCCGAGGACACCATAAAGGATCAGTTAAAAATAAAACGATAACACCGCCGGTTTGGCTGAGAGCAGCAGATTTCAAGGGAAAATTAGTGGTTGAGAGCAGCGCAGGATAGTCAACAAACAAGCCCGCGAGGCTGGCAAGCCGACAATTACGGAGGGGCTGACATTTATGGCAGGATATGCAAACATTTATTTTCTGAGCGGAGAGGCCGCATCACGCCAGTGTTTCATTATCATCCGCCAAGGAGGAAGCTTGGGCACGAGGCGCTCCCACAGTTTAATCACACACTTTCAATAGTACCCCAGCAAAGCCATTACTGTTTCCACCAGGCAGTTGTTAGGAGCCGGCCAGCACGTCTTCCCCCTTCCTCCAGCCGAGCCTCATGGCTTCCTGCCCGCACACGCTTACTTCTCTGGGGTCCTTTCCATTCCCATGTGGAGCACTGCGGCCCTTCTCTGGCTGACGTTCTTGCCTCGTCAGCTGAGGAGAACAATGCCCCCCCCCCCCCCAAAAAAAAAAAAAAACGCACGCGTGTTGCTCTCCCTCTTCGTCCTTTCCTTGGTCACAAGGAAAATGCTGACGCTTCCCCCCCGGGAGGGTCAGCCAAAGACCTACACCTCTCCCCTGCTATAGATGGAGCCCCTGACCATGAGAGGAACAGCGGCCCCCCACGGTCTCCCAGCACAGAAGAACGACTTACCGGCTCTAAAGATCCCCGAGATGGCTGTTTAAATTCTCCCAAGCCCTTGGCTTCGCTAACAGTGCTGATCGCAGCTTAGAATGTGTCAACACACCAGCCACCAAATGTACTTACACTGACCGTGGGGGCAGTGCACTCCTATCCTTCACTATGACTGTTAAACCAACCTTTTTAACACCTTACAGCCAGTGTGTGCATTTATTTCTGTTGATCACCATTTTGCTCTGTAAGCGTTTACTGCAAGCCCCTGACATAAATCCTCATACCCTCCCTATTCCATGACAAATGGACACTGGGTACTCTCCCCCTCCTGCCTCCCCACGGCAAGGGCAAACACATTACACTGTCTGGGCCTCAGTGTTAAAATGAGCCACCTCTGCCGTCATAGTCTGTTTCCGTCAAGAGAGATAATGACTCCGAAACCTACAAATCATCTGCATCGGAGTTCTCTCCACCGAAAGTATCCTCTGAGTTTTATGGACAGGGATCACATTATCAGTACCAGCTGCATGGGTACTCACAGGACAGTGCATACCAGTCCTACAGGTACTCATGGGACAGCAAGAAACACCCGTACAGATACTCAGGGGACAATGAGTACCAGCCACATGTGTATTCTAGGGACTGCAAGTACCAGCTGCATGGGTACTCAGGAGATAGTCAGTCGAAGCGACATAAGTACTCAGGGGACAGTGAGTACCACTAACACAGATAACACAGAAACTGTGTACTGGCCACATGGGTACTCACAGGACATCAACTACCAGCTGCGCAGGTATTCATGGGTCAGTTACTACCAGCAGCACGAGTACTCACTGTCAGTACCAGCAGCTCAGATAAATTGCTCACTTACTTGCATTTATTGGGGAACAAATTATACCCATTATATTAATTTTTTGAAGCACAGTTTTTAAATACTTCTGATTTTAATAAAATGGAAAAAGAGTGGACTTTTAAAAAAAAATGTTGAAACACTGAATTTCATTTCCTTTGAAAAAATCTGGATCCCCATTATTAATTTTAAATAATTCATCCATCCATCTTCCAACCCCTTTTCCTGAGCAGGGTCATGGGGGCCTGGAGCCCATCCCAGGCAGCACATGACATAAGGTTGGTGTAGACCCTAGATGGAATGCCTGTATATCAGACACGCGCTCACTACGGGCAATTTAGAGATGCCAATCAGGAAAGTAGGATTCAAACACCCAATCATGGAGGTACAAGGCAACAGTACTACCCACTGAGCCACTGTGCCACACTGAATTTGGAATTACTCCAACTTAATTATGAGAGCAGAAAGCAAGTTATATAAAGAGAGAGCGAGTGTGTGTATGCTGTTTGTCAATATCTGATTACTGGGGGTGAACAATGACAATCACCCCTGACTGTTTTCTGCATTTCCCTTGGCTGTGATTGGTTCCTGGGGGAAAGGGCCCTTCAAGATGGCTGAGACACCCACCACGTTCAGCTGCTGTCCGAAAGCTCAGCCTGTCAGCCTACAAATGGAGGGCCAGGCTGGCCCAGCACACGTCTGCATCCTTCCCTTAATGTCAGCCCCCCACCCCATACAATCCTGGGAAACCGAGACAATCCGCTAATTGCTATACACGAGCCACTAAGCATGCATTACGGTGATCGCTAAGTACTAAAGCCAATGTGAGCCTGTAAATTTCCCAGAATCATCTATTCGAATAAACACGTTCATTAAAATACTTTTAGACGGGCGCTGACAGCGATCACTACAGTAATGCAATCATTTCAAAATCAATGGTGTCTTAATTACATAAAATACAAGCTGGTTACGCACAATAAATCCCCCCCCAGATGGACCAAGTTCTGCTCATGCCCGCTTCCTGGCGAAGATGGGCCCTCACCTGTGCCTCTGAAGCTGCGAGCGCGTCTGGAAGCTGGCCGCGCAGTCGGGGCAGGCGTGGGGACGCTGGGTGCTGCCATCCAGCTGGCCGTGGGCAGCCTGGTGCCGCTTGAGCGTGCTGGAATGCGAGAAGGACTTGCCGCAGACCTGGCAGCAGTGGGGCCTGGTGCCCAGGTGGGTGCGGCTGTGCCGCATCAGGTTGCTGGGGCAGGAGAAGGCCTTCCCGCACACCTCGCAGCTAAACAGCTTCTTGCCCGTGTGGCTGAAGACATGGGCGCGGAGCAGGCAGCGGCGTGTGAACGTCAGCTCGCAGTAGGGGCAGGCGTGGGGCAGCGGCGTGCGTGACCAGTCCCGGTACAGCTCAGCCGGCGTGGCCAGACCGCCCGGCGATGGCTCTGACGGCGGCTCGGCTCTCGGTGGCTGGCTGGAGCTCCCTGTGACGTCGCTGGTCCTGTCCGCCTCCTCTGCCCCATCCTCTGCAGAGACCGTGGACAGCATTGGCTTTTAGAATCATGGGGACGCCGAGCACGACGCAGGTGCACATGAAACTCCACAAGGCCTCACCTCTTCGCCTCTTCTGCAGCCGTACCCCGTCAAAAAGCACTACGGAAGCCCCTCTGGATGGGTTCTGGTGGGTGCCCGTCCCCGGGGCCCCCGCAGGGCCCTTGGTGATGCCACGGTGCTGCCTTCGGTGATATAGGAAGAGGGTGGTGTTGGTGAAGCCCTCGCCACACTCGGGGCAGCGGTGCAGCACCTCCCCCAGGGCGTGCTGCGTCTTGCGGTGCTGCACCAGCTCCGGCTCCGTGCTGACGGCCAAGCCGCAGGTCACGCAGAGGAAGCTGGGGCTCACTGTCGTGGCCGGACCACTCGCATCTGGACCGAGATGTTCCATATCGGCCTTGGCAGTCAGGGTGGCGCTCGGTTCTGAAACCTTTCGGGCTTCTGCTGCCTCCAGTGTGGCATCTTGACACCCATCTCCCCTCTCTGGTAGAGAATCAGCAGAACCTGGTGCATTTATGCTCCACTGTCCAGCCCCCTCATGCCCCTGTTCAGTCTCTACCTGCTCCTGTCCAGCCTCCTGTTCAGTCCACTCCTGCCCCTCCCCAATTATCTCCTGCCCCTGTCCAGCCTCCACCTGCCCCTGTCCAGCCTCCACCTGCCCCTGTCCAGCCTCCACCTGCCCCTGTCCAGCCTCCACCTGCCCCTGTCCAGCCTCCTGTTCAGCCCCCTCTTGCCTCAGGACCTCCCCAGCTCCCTCCTGCCCTTGTTCAGATACCTCCTGCCCCAGTTCTACCCCAACACCCCCCTGCCCTTGTTCAGCTACCCCCTGCCCCAGTCCCACTCCAGCACCCTCTTGCCCCTGCTCAGATACCTCCTGCCCCAGTTCTACCCCAACACCCGCCTGCCCTTGTTCAGCTACCCCCTGCCCCAGTCCCACTCCAGCGCCCTCTTGTCCCTGCTCAGATACCTCCTGCCCAAGTTCTACCCCAACAACCCCCTGCCCTTGTTCAGCTACCCCCTGCCCCAGTCCCACTCCAGCGCCCTCTTGCCCCAGCTCAGGTACCTCCTGCCCCAGTTCCAGCCCAGTGCCCTCCTGACTCTCCTCCTCATGCTCCCTCTTTCTATGCTGCCTACGGTGGTAGAGGAATAGGGTGGTGTTAAGGAAACTCTCGCCACATACACTGCAGCGGTGAAGCGCCCCCTCCAGGCCATGATGTGTTTTACGGTGGGCCACCAGCTCTGGAACCAGCCTGAAGCCACACCCACAGTCCACACATAGCAGGCTCTGATTGGCCACTGCAATCGCACTGGCTTTTCCTCTCCTGCTTCCACGCTTCTTGGAGTTTGAGTTGCTGGTCTCACCGCCGTCCTGAGCATTCTGTGCATCAGTCAACTTCATCTCCAAAACAGACCAGCTGACATCGGGCCCAGTCTGCGCCTCGACCTGTTCAACCTCCTCCTGTTCTTCTAGGTCCATCGGGCCCAGATTCCCCGGCTCGCCCACCTGCAGATAAGAGTGATCCCGGCTGACTGCAGTTTCCCCGTCTCGGAGCTCTGTATACGATTCCACTGCAGCCTCGACCTGGGCCTCTTCTCCTGGCTCATCTGCCCCCGGCTCCCCCACCCCATGCCAGCCCTCAGTGAGCTGCCCGGGGGCCACCGCAGCCCCTTGGCACTCGTCCAGCTTGCGGTGCTGCTGCCACAGGAGGAGCGAGTCAAACAGACAGCCACAGTCACCACACTGGTACCGGATCTGCACATCGGACCCCAGGACACATTCCGTTTTCGGAACAGGATTTTGCTCTTGCGGGTCGGAGGAGTCCCTAGGTTGGTCTTGTCCTTCAGGACCGCAGGGGTTCACCAGGGTACAGCTGGCTGGTTCCTTTGCAAGGTTCTGTCCATATGGGATACAGAAGATAAGGGAGAGGTAGAGCACAAACAGCCATCCCTTTCCCACACTGAACAACTGACAACACTTAAGACAAAAAAAGGGCATAAATCATCCCAGAGCCAGTTCTTAATATGAATTTAACGTTACTCTGGGTGAAACTGGGACTGAGAGAACAGAATAAAATAATAAATAAATGAGAGAGTTCCAGAGACATCATTAATCTCGTTCACAGCAGGGACACGGCAGCACAGGGAGCAGAGTGCGACTATCACAAATGCAGTACCAGGCTGCGGGTCGGGCTCAGATTCTACACCGCAGACAGAGCTGTTTGCTAAACTCGCTCATGGCTTGTCATTACCATTAATGCTGAAATTGTTATTATTAAAGGACTTTCATAGTAATGGTTAAACATTTCTGAATTTCCAGATTATGACAGAAAATATGTAAGCTCTTTAAATCGTAATCTGAATGGTTTTATGAATTATTAGCCTGATTTAAATGACAATGAAAATGACTGAATCTCTGTTTAGCTACTACTATGCTACTAGATTTGACTGTGTTAAATATATGCAAAATTCAACAGTCCTTGAGAAAGCAACGTGAACACTCTACAAATTCTACATATTACTAGCTGTTCAAATCCATAAAATTAGTAAGTTAGTGGTAATATTATTCCCACTCACAAATCTAGATAGCACAGCAATGAGTGCATCACACATCCCAACTGAATGGATTGCAGGCTGCAAAGTGATGTGATGTGAGAAAGAGCCGAGACACTGGGGGCCATGGACTGGTGGACAGGCTCACAGGGAGCGAAGATGCGGGGGTGAGTCAACATTGGTCTGCTTTGAGAGTCATGCCACTGACATGACTCAGTGAGCCCATTTCAGAATTACCCTAACGGACAGCAATAAAATATGAAACAGGAAATAAAGGAATTCAGCCACGACACAGCAGCGCAAATCGAACGTCTCAAAGTACCATGGTTCCCTTTATCGACGATTCTGTTTTTGAATTGTCTTACAGATTCTCCGCGGTTTCTTAATGCCGCCAAACAACACCCCGAGGACCAGTCTCTAGTGAATCAGAGAACATGCTGCATAATCGATACGTAAAGCGCCTTAACCATTGGCTCAAAGGACAAATAAGAGCTTCCAGATGTCTAGTCAGTCATAATTGGAGTTTGAAATAAAGCTGAAATTTAAATTCAGAGTAAATGCCTCTTCAATTCCTACTTTCTGTAAACAGTTCATTTAAATGCAAACTCTTCTTGAACATCACATGGAAATTATGAGAATTAAGTTATGATATATGATAATTTGGTCAATGGTATGCAAATGGAGATAATTAAACAGCTGACGGGGACGAGGGCCAAAACATGCACGTGACCCAGGATTTTACGGCGCGTCGAGACGTGGCAGTGGGGTTTCCCTGTCAGGAAGCCAACGAGCAATCCATCAGGGTGGGAGTGATACATCACCCTGGAGCTCAGACACCCCCGCCAAGCCCCCACCTGAACCACGCCGCAACTCAAGTAGCAGTCTGCATGTCAATCACAGCTCTGCACCGCTCTCCTCCTCCCCGCTAAGGATCCAAAGCCACGACCCAGCTGAGTTAGGGACACCGGCAGCTAAGTCCAGGAGTTCCGTGGCATCCAAACCTGTGCCGGCTGACCACTTAACACTGGTGCAATGTTCCGCCTTGTTAGCTCGGACCCCTCAGCCACCTCACGGTCCTGCTTCCGCTCACCTCGTCCTGCAGCCCTGACATCCCCGTCTCGGCCGCCTCGGGATTGCAGGTGAGTTGGTGAGCGAGCACAGCCTCCAGGGAGTCGAACTCCTGGTAGCAGGGGAAGCACATGTACACAGAGGCGTCGTCCATCCCTGGCAGGAAGGAGAGCAAACATATTTGAGGGTACACCGGCTGCCAGACCCTGACATTTTGAAAAAGGCGGCCCGATTTCCCTCCGATGCTCCTCTGCCCCTTTGAAACATAAGAAGGCCAACATTTTGGCCGACATTAGCTGAATTCCTAGCTGACCTCCACATCAGCTGCCAGTGCCCTGATATCAAAGATGATTCTTAAACACACACATTCAGGTCAGGACAGCACAGCACACATTAAAGAAAATAATTAAAAAGGAGAACATTTCATCTGCCATATTTAATGCTTACAGTCACGAGGTGACCATGTGCCGACCCTTCCCGGTGACCGAATCTGCCTCTCTCAGGGCGTGTATGTCTCATTCAGCCGGAGAGCGCAGGCCACGCGGCAGGCGGAACACCGCAGCGCGTCATGTCTGCCCTGGGGGTGTGAAAAACCTCCTCTCCCCATCTCCCTCCCCGAGCAGTAAGTAACCGCCAAGCGACTGCGAGAGACGCTGGATGCTGTGCTAACAGATGGTCAGTTACAAAGTGTTGGCTGAAAAATCTGTTTTAATATGCTGGCACTTTAAGTTAAGTCTAACGCTAAGCTCCATGGCAACACCACCCATTGGATTAAGAAACAAGAAAAGTCATAGCTTAAAACATTAAAAGTCAAAGTTCACGTTCACATTTTGATTGGTGTTGTGACTATATTATACACTGTAGCCATCAGATCTGTCAAACTGTACGGCTACAGGCTTATTTATACTCCTGCATAGAATCTATGCTTTCAGGTACAACGTATCCATGTATCCATGTACCATACGTGGCTATGCTGTACCTGACAGCGTAGATTCTATGCAGAAGTAAAAATTAGCCTTAAAGGTAATTTACTTGCCTAATACTATCACCTCTTTCAACCACACTGAATATATAATTTTTAAATACACATAAATTAGATCTAAGTAAAGTATGTATGGCTCCTCTACACCATGACCCTGCACTGGATAAGCAGTTATGAATGTCTCCTGCATCAAATAGAGACACGCCTTCATGAGTGATTTTTTATTTTTTATAATATATCAATCACGTCACAATGCGATCTTGAGCTAGGGGTTCTGGTAGAGAAAACCTTTTTGAAATGCACACCGGGCAGAACAGGGCAGCTTTACATAACGTAGTCTGATGAATCACAGACACCCTTCAACAGATCAGCCATAAATAGCCACCGCTGCAGCGCACGAACGGACTTTGTCTTTCAGCTGGTTCACTGGAAGGTGAAAACAAAACGGTGACTTAACCGCCTCCTCGTTTGTACGCTGAAATACACTGAATTCCCAGGCATTACAGAGACTGTGACACGGCTGACTTTGGTCCCTTTTTTAATGTTAATCTCACAGATTATTACAAATTAGGCGCACGTGAACATGTGCTCCGGTCACCCCATATTTCCTGCATTGTTTAGACAGACAGGGAGAATGGGTGGGACCATTTTGCTCCAGGGCAGACCCGCCCACCCCCCATGACAGCTGGTCTCAGCCCTGGTTGCGCCAAGTCATAATGTGGGCAGATTCTACAGCTGTCTCTAAGCAGCCAATGGCCCCAGTAATGAGAGAGAGAAGGCTAAGATTATTCAATTTGCATAATAATTATTTCAATCAGTAAGGTGGCACGGCAGTTATCAGTACCGCCTCACACTTCCAGGGTTGTGAGTTTGATTCCCGCCCCTGCCACTGCACGAGCCGAGTTTTCATGCTCTTCCTGCACCCTGTGATAGACCAGCATCCCATCCAGAGTGTCCTCTGATTCATGCCCTGTGATTTCCAGGACCGTGACCCTGTACTGAATAAGCGGGTCTGTAAGACGGATGGATGCACTATCTGTCTCACTTTGGGGAGAAAAAGCATCAGCTAAATAAAAATACAAACGTATTTCAAATAAGCAAATGAGTGAGCAGATAAACCAGCAGACGCAGCAGCCTAGGACTGAAGACAGGGCCTGACAACTCCAATTCTCATAAACCGCAGATGCAGAGATTTTATTGCATTTCAAATTGCACTGGATTATACCGCAAACAGCCAGTAAAGTGCTGCAAAGAAATAACATGTAAAACACAAGGCAAATTGTACTGCAGACATTGGGAGTCTGTAGTCACTACAAATGCCCCCCCGTAGATTTTTTTAAAAGCTGAATCAATACTAGTGAACTTTGAAACTGGATCAGAGACACCCGAGGGAAGGTTAGGAGATTAAAGTCAATAGAGTGGAATATACCCTAAGTAGGTAGAGAGCATAAACTTTGCCACGAGTAAGAGAGGGTACTTGCTTGTAACTCAGGGGTATGCTAATTGAAAACGATCTGAAACATCCTTCAATCAATTAATCACCTGCAAGATAAAAAAAAATACCATTTAAAGAGTCATTTACTACTAAACATAATTTCACTAGTTACAGCTTCTGCAGCTCATATGTGACTGCTGTGAAAATGGGTGCCTTCTGTATACAAAAACTAAATTAATAAAAATTTGAAATGAAGGTTTAATGTTGTTAGAATGGTTTCACTTAGTTGAAAAAAATGAAAATTCTCGGCTACATAGATGCAGAACACTGCAGATGTTTTTTCTTGACATGCTGACCACAATAAGGAACTTGTACTAAATGTAATATTCAGCTGAATTTGGAAACCAGATTAAAACAGCTTTGTAGCCTATTTCTGAAGGATGCATGCAGCACAGGAGTGACCAGCAATATGGGAAGAGGCTAACGATGCGTGTACAGATGAATACGACATTTCTTCAGACCTACAGGAAGCATGGGGTTCGTCATCGGGATAAAAAAAATCTCCTTGAGCAATGGAGTGTTATCTCCATTGCCTGTCAAAAACATATTTCTAGTTTATGATGATGATGCATATCCATTTTAGGCGTGGCTTCATTCGCAGTCAGTCTGCAACTAATTAATGAAGACGCTTTATGACAAAATTTCTACTTCAAATAAATGTATAACTCTTAACTGCCGCTTTGTATCGAATATACAAAACCATACGTCATGAAGCAAATATGAATTTGTACTAGATTAGCGGACTGTTTTGATGAATTTTTTTGCTGGGTAACGGCTTAAACGGCTAGGAAACTGAAACCTAAACTTTCGACTTCATGCTACCAGATAGCTTAGATTACGTCTCTAGTTACTTGCCTAAGCATTTCATATGGGCTGATGAACTGATACCAAGTTACCAAATGAAGTAGTTTAGTTTGCATGACAGTTTCGAGGCTGACTGACGGACGGGACTAGTGGTTTATAGGAGGTAAGCCGGAGGACTGGGCTCAGGACAGCATCCGAGCGCCGCAGCAGCTACATGAGGAAAAGGGTGCCGTGATAGGCGGCTGGCAGTCCTCACACTCTTCCTCGGTGGTGTTATGGCGGCCCAGTAACAAACAAACCAAATGGGTGCCTCCTCTCCTTCGGCGGGGTAGCGACGCATCTGAGCCAGCTCTAGAAATAAGCGTGAATACTCCCCTCTAAATTCAAACTTCGAGCGACAAGTAAAAGCTTTTTTTGTCCGCGCACATTCAATTTTAAAATTAATTTACTCACCTAAAACTGCAGATATCCCAGTCCACAGAAAAAAAATTAGCAAGAACTTCCTCGCCCTCCAGTAACGATGCAGCTCATTGGTTGACCAAAGTTTAGCAAGCGCCAATGAAACGAAGGGAGGTTGCGTCATAATAATACGTAGACTGCGAATCCGCCATTTCTAACTGCAGCAAACGTGGTTCTTTGATTTTTGATTCAAGATTATGTTGCAGATTGTGACTTATTAACTAGTCATTGTGTTAATGCTAACATAATATTTGAGATGAAAAGTATTAATGCACAATGAATATTTCACAGGTAAATATGTATTAATTTCAACCTCCCACATTAGTCTCTAAGCTAGTTGTTATATATAAAGAATTGGGAACAAAAATAACGTTACAGCCTTCAATGTTATAACTTCGAATAAACCAGAAAATATATAACATGCTTATGATATATTCTTTGTTCTCCAGATAGAAGCTGATTTACTGAAATACATTAAACATTCGTAGAACAATATCTTGTCAGATGAATGAGGTAATGAGAATATGGTATGAAGCTCGGAAAGGAAATGGAAACTTGCCAAGCACTTCTGCTCCGTAATTTTGTTTCCTGATCCTAAAACACGGCTGGCATACTGGCTTTAAAAAACAGACTCAGTTATTTATGACTTGTTTTTTCATTACTAACCTAATAATGGATCTCTGACATTCACTTAAACTTAATGGCTTATATTTTTACTTCTAATAATTTGTAGTCTAGACCAATTGCCCCTTTTTATGTTATAGTAATGAGATCAAATTAAATCCCTTTCTACCAGTATATAGCTCTATAAAAATTGAATGTTGTTATCTGTCTGAACAAACCACACTCCACAATTTTTATTATTTTTTGGTAAATAAATTCTAAATTTTTAATTTCAGTAGGCATATTCACATTAAAAACAACAGGATTTCAGTGAGGTAATCCAGATTTTTAGAACAAGAACAAAAGGGGAATTGATATATTCATGGCAAAAATAAAGTCAATATCATTTACTGGACTAAACTGAAAGTACAACCTTACCTGATGAGGTGTATTACAGGAAACTGCCCCATGGGTAATTGCTTTGCAGCTTAACGCCATGCACATTTATTTTAGGGTTTGCTTAAACACAAGTGTACTTGTTGGTTAATAAAATGCAAGCAGCTCATAGTGAGATGGTGGAAAGTTCTGTTCCCTGCGTTTAGCTGATTCAGTGTATTCAGTTCAGTTGGGAGACTATATGCACACATCATTAATTTTGTTGTTCTTCCACATTGTTAGCACATAGCAGCTAAGCCTTGGATTGAGTTGCAGCTCAAGGATTCGTAAAAAGGTTATAAACCAGGTTTGAGGGCCCATGAGTGTTACATACACGTACATACATGCTCCATATAATTTTCAGGTAATTGTCCATACATTTTAAAGGTATTATGGGTCATTTATCAGTTTAAAAAGTATTAAAATGTAAATTTTCTTCTATGAAGTGATACAGTAATTATTCTTGCTTTGGTGCATATTTGTACAATGAAGGATATTAGCTGGAAAAGCATCAATGTTCCTGCAATGCAGTAAATTCACACCAGTGCATACTCAAGATTGTACTGTGAATGGATCAAATATAAAAACGGACCCAGACTGAAACAGAGCCATTCAGCTATATGTCAGCTATTCATTTTTAGCAACTTGCGCACTTAGAGTCAGAGGACAAAGGCTGTCCCAGGTAGTACGGGAATAAATGGGAGAAGAGCCTGCTCACATGGCACATACACAGTTTGGTTGCTGCTTCTTTTGAACCACAAGCCTTTGAACCCAACCCAGGCAGACAAAGTCATGCAAGCAAGCAAATGAACAATTAAAACTACCTATTTTGGCCATACATCAACCAATTGTTTCATCAATTTACTATTCTTGGTTGAAAAACAAGTAATAAACATTGCTCACATGTAACCCTTCTGTGGAAAACCACAGCAACAGCATCAGAGTAATAATGGAAACATCAGTTCTGCCCCATCAGACGTGAAACAACAATAGCTTGACTCCCATAATGCTCCTGTAGTGCTAATGAACATAATAAGCTATTACAATGAATTAAACTGCTCAAGTTCATTTAAGACTCTTGATATTTTGAGTACTTTTTCAGAATGAAGGGCGAAATATTTGGTTTTACTTCACAATGAATTTATTTCTGTTGTTTTTCTTTGTAATTCTTTCACATTTAATCTACATCACAGTCTTTTGCAATTTTCACCTGAAAGGTTAATTTCATTGCATTATGTTAGGTAGTACCAGGTACTGTCTTAAAGATCAAAATTAAAAGTACACACACCTTGAAAAGAGTATTGGACCTTCGCTATCTGAAAAATTTCACTATCTAACATCATGAGTCTTTTCCATTCCAACTTGTCTAAGCAAAATTTATGCACTATGGAAATAATCAACATTAGTCATATCGCAGTGTCAACACGCACCTGATGTATTGCTGATTGTCTTCTGTGAATTGATGAGTTCATTTTTTTCTTTATATCCTCCAAGCCCATCACCTTTATCTTGTAAACACAGTGAAAATTCAGGCGCTCTTTGCAATATCCCTCCAACTGATATACCCCTAACCTCCACTCACTGCATCACTGCACACATGAAAACACACGACACAGTGTCCATGACGCACACACCAGTCCTCTTCAAAAGGAAAATGTCTACAGATGGACATAGCACACAAAACATAAGCAAAAACCTCGCCTACCCTGGATTATACACAGAGCAGTCACTGGAGACATGCGACTGTTTGTGTAGGTAATTATTGGTAGCATTGGGTAATGTTCAGGATAATGATTTTGAACAGGGTTTGAGATGTACTGTACCTTATATGCCCTTGCAATTCTTGAATCTTATTTGTTTAGTTATTTATTGTTATTCTTGTTGGCATATATATACTGGTACTATAATATGACGGAAGCCTGACGCTAAGAATTTCACAGAAATATGTTCACATGACAATAAGACTTTATAATCATTCCCCTTTAGCTGAATGTCAGACATTCCTGGGAGAAATTAATAGATGTTACATGGGTATAGTTTAGAGAGGTCAGGTTTGCCTGCATATTGAATATCACAATTTGAGAAACAGAACAGTTCAGAAGTAACAAAACTAAGGACATTGTGCTGAGGACCCTGGTGAACGTGAATGCCCTATCTCTGTACGAATTAACCTTCATATGTTCAAACAAGCTCTGCTCCTGACGGAAAATGTGCTTTTATGTGTTTGACGTTTTGAAAAGCCTCAGTCAGCTGTGAATTGCAAGTGACTCTGTGTTAAACTTTGAGACAGCTATCCACAGAGGTGGAGGGTTTAGATGTCAGCAGAGACCCTGGCAGAAGCCAGCTGTGATCCATAATCCAGGATTTTATTGCTAAAATAAGTGTTATTTGGTGTAGATACCTACCTCAGTAAGTATGATGGATGGCATGTGAAATGGCTGAATTTGGAAGGATTCTCCTTTTCACCCTGTATTATGTATCTCCCAAAGTGACTTTCAGTTTAATATGCCTCCCCTGTTCTCATCTGGCACATGTCCTGCTCACTGGCTCACCTTCATCCGACCGCCTCTGCTGTGCAGAGCTCCAGAGAGCCGGAAGCCTCCCTAATCGATGACGAGAGGCAAAGCAGGCACGAGAACACCGGAGAGGACCCCAGGGTGATCAAAAAGGGGGT